TGTTTTGTAAGATTTGTGAGGTCAGAGTGGCAGGCGAAAAAAAATTTACTGTGACACAACATGTGAGTAGAGTTAAACATATACGTGATCTAGAAATTCAAAAAAAATAGAAAAGGTGAAGTTGTTCAGACGACAGACATTATTTAATACCGTTCTAATAAATAATGCATTTACTACAGATCTTTGAACTGCAATGGTATCTGCTAACATTTCTCTTTTTAAAGTTTTTAAGGCATTTTTTTAGTGCAATTTTTTGATGTTAAAGCATTTTTTTAAGGCATTAAATCGTATTTTTTTAAGGCATTTTTCTTATTTTTTAGAGCATTTAAATCCGTTCCCTAATGATGATTTAGTGGTTGAAATAAATTGAACACAGATGTAAATACAATGTGGTTTTCTTTTAATGTTCTCCAATAAACCGTGCTAAGTCCAAATTACAATTATTACACAGTGTCTCGTGAAGGTGCTTGCAGTAGAGATGAGTGAACACGTCTGAATACAGGCCATTTCGGGGTTCCTCTTATAGTCTGGTTCCCGCTCCCTTTGCCTAGTGATACTGTATCTCGGTTCTCACGGATGTGGTCTAAGTGGCCATCGACCTAGCTACGCATTTGTAAATTCCTAATCTATTCTGCGTATTACCATAATGTACTAATAGTTAATTTATGAACTGTCAATTTCATTATAATACATCATACTATTTTTTTATGTCGAATATCTGTCATATAACGATATTGCATACATCACATCCGCCTATTCTGCATGCTTATAAAATCGTGCTAATCTGTTGTAGTATTATTTTGAATATCGTTTCCCCTTGAGCCAGTAATTGATTAATCGTAAATTTGTTTATGCTTTCGTTTTGGGCATTATACTCCCCATGGTTTATTTTATTAAGTACAATCGAAAAGGTTAACTAGTTTGTGTTTGACATATATGATTATTACCTATCTACAGTATGTTATGCTAAATATGTTACCTGTCGGGACTTTAAATGTTATGTAGTAACTCGCTTACTACAATGTATACAATATAGATAAATAAGTCATCAAACATTTCAAAGTGAACCCCATCACAAAAATGTATGGAGTTATAAGATTATTTTGATAACCTATTAGATTCTGAGTGGAACGATGAATGTATTGTATTTAGAATGATGTGTGTTTTTTTTTTTTTTTATTTTTTTTTTTTACTACTACTCTACTCGGTAGGACGGCTTTCGCCTATTAAACTATTCCAGGCTTTGCCTTTGCTAGTCACGGGATGTTAAACTAATTTTTTGATTTGTTGGATTTACTTATATATTTTATTTTATTTTATTTTATTTTATTTTATTTTTTTTTTTTTTTTTGTTTTATTGGTTGTTTGCCCAGAGTTTTGCTCTAGGGCGTTGAGAGTACCTTGGGTGAAGTGGTGAGGGGGTGATCTGACCTATGTTCCTGATGTGGTTATATTGAGATTTTGAGCAACGGTAGAACATAGCTACAGAGTTTTTCTTGATGGTATTCCTGACGGTGTCAAATCTTACTGTGTTCAGGAGGACCGATTTCCGTACTATTGACGATTGACCCAGGATGGTCCGGACACCTATGGTCTGTACAGCTTCGATTTACATCCATGAAGATTTGCATGCAAATGGCGCCAATGATGCACCAGCATAGGTTAAAATAGGTAGAATATATAATTTGAAGAGGTTTGGTCTAGTCCTTGCTGGGATAGGGCTTTTTTTGTTGAGGATTGAGTTAAGTATGCCGCGAATTTGGGTAGCTTTTTTGACAATTTTTGATACATGATTGGAGAAGCTTAATTTTTGGTCGATTGTTACACCTAAATATTTTACGCTCCTGGACCAAGGGATTAGTATGTTATTAATTTGGATATTTTTTAAGTTTGTAGTTTTTGTACGGCCGAAACGGATTGCAGTAGTTTTGGATTCATTTATCCGAAGTCGCCACTTTTTGAACCAGGCTGATGCCAGGTTAATTTGTTTCTGAAGTTGTAAAATTGCAAAACGCGCATCATGGTTTGAACAATAAAACATTGTGTCATCCGCAAACAAAGAAACTCGAGAATTTGTATTCGTAGGTAGGTCATTAGTATAAATATTAAAGAGCGTAGGGGAAAGACAAGAGCCTTGTGGCACGCCCGCATTTACCATCCTTACTGACGAGTTTTGGTCCTCAATTTTAACAGAAAAGGTACGATCCGAGAGGAAAGATTCGGTAATTATTATAAGTTGAAGAGGAATGTCCATGGACATCATCTTGTGGAGAAGTCCATCGTGCCAGACAGTGTCAAAGGCTTTATCAACGTCAAGGAGGATGGCAGCTGTTTGAATACCTTGGTTGAGATTGTCGCTGATTTGGTCTATTAGTTTGGTTAGTTGAAGGACAGTAGAGTGGTTTTGACGGAAGGCGAACTGCTCATCTCTTATTTTGCCAGCTAAAGATTCTTGGAGATACTGAAGGATTAGACGTTCATAAATTTTTGAGAGAGAGGAGAGAAGAGCTATAGGTCTATAACTTTCCGGTAATTGGGGATTTTTGCCGGGTTTTGGTATTGATATTATATGAGATAGTTTCCATATGTTAGGGAAGTAGCAGAATTTAAAACAGCTATTGATGATTTTTGTTAGTTGTAGTATTTTTGATTTGATTTGATTTGTGATTTGGTCCCATCCCAATCAAATGTTCTTTACGAGCTTGTCAATTAGTTTTTGGATTGTACCCGGAGAAGTGAAGATGGGTGAACTATTTGTGACTGATTTCTGGAGCGTTGAGATACTGGCTTGAACTTCCGGGAGATTTGGTCCATGAATAGTTGTGAACTGTCGTTCCAGGGAATCTGCAAACATTTCTGTTATTTCCTGAGCTGAGTACACCAAACCACTGGGCCCTAAGATAGGGTGGGTGGCTGGTTTCTTTCTTAATAAGTTTCTGTTTAGTTTGTATATTGATTTTTCATTTTGATTTAAGGAGTTCATATATTTGTCCCATTCATCTTGTCTATGGGTCCGGAGCATTAGTCTTATACAAAGTATTTTTGAGTTTAGTAACCTTTTTGTCGTATGGTCACGGGTCCGTTGCCATTCTCTGCGTAAGCGGTTTTTGGCGCAGATTTCTAGCTGAATTTCAGTAGGAATGATAGGTTGGCGCTTTTTGGAATTTCGGACGTAAGAGCTGTTGTCTAGTGCAGATTATATAGAGTTTGTGAAGTTTTGAATGGTGCTGTCAATGCTTTCCTTGGTGTTCGTAGGGGGATTGACACTGGATTTTTCCGCACTAAGAATGTGATAGAATTTTTTCCAATTGATAGAAAGGTTTGGCGATGGAGGGGAGGTTTTAATTGGTGAGTCAGATAGCTCTAGTAGAATTGGATTATGATCCGATGAAAGTTCATTGAGGTTTGTGAGTTGAATAATAGAGTGGTGCGGATTATGGCAATGTCGAGTACATCCGGCCTGTATTTGTATGAGTTTGGAAAATGGGTTGGCGTGTCAGATGCTAATATTGAGTAGTTGTTTTGCTGAAGGTGATTGTATAATATCGTTCCTGCAGAGTTAATTTTACGACTGTTCCAGAGTGGGTGCTTAGAGTTTAAGTCACCAGCAATTACGAAATTGTCAGCACTGTTGGTAAGAAGGTCCAAGTCAGAAGGGTCTAAGGTAGACGAGGGAGATTTGTAGACCGAGGAGACAAGCAAGCTACTGTTGTTGATTTTAATTAAAATAGAAGTAGATTGGAGTTTAGTATTTATTTGAATTGATTGATGAATAATATTACGATGAACCAAAATTGCTGTGCCGTCATGGGATTTTGAGCCCGGCCGTAACGGCAGGACATTTCTGTAAGTAAAATAGTTTGGGATTTTGAGGCTTAAGTTTGGTTTTAGGTGTGTTTCACCGATTAAAATAATATCAAGTTTTATTGAGGAGGCTAGTGCATTGAGTTCGTTTATTCGTTTTGAAATGCCGTTGGCGTTTCAATGTAAAATTTTTAGATTTGTGATCATTTTTGTTTACCGAAGAGGGTCAAGAAGGACTTTATTGTGGATAACAGCATTTCTTTGGGGTCATTTGTTGTAGATATGACCGTGAGTAGATCAGATAGTAGGGCTAAGATTTGCTCGTTGCTGATTGTTTCCTTGGATTTAGTTGCTGTAGCGTAGTCCATTTTTGTGAGATCTGTGATGGTTGGTTGTGTGACTGGTGCTGGGAGGGTTGGCGTTGGATGTTTAGTGGATATTTGGGCAGATTTGGCGATTGTTGCTTGAGTAAGATATGGGCAGCCACGGTAGTTAGCGGTGTGACTCCCACCGCAGTTACAGCAAGTTGGATCTTGGTCAATGGTTTTCGGACAGTTACTGGCTTTGTGCTCGCCTGAACATTTTACACATCTAGGGGGATGAGTACAGTTTGAGGAACCGTGGCCAATTCGTTGGCATGCGAAGCACTGTGAGGGACCCGATTGCTTATAGGTCTCAACTGAGATTTTGATAAAGAATAGGTCGTTCAGCTCGAAAATTTCTTTGGAATTTGTGCCACTTCCAAGTACGACTAAACAGATTGGCATGGGTTTGTTTGGTGGACCAAAACGTTTGACGAGCTTGACATCGAAGTTTAATAATTCTAGTTCACTTTTTAAATCGTCAGGAGTGATATCAATAGGGATGCCCCTCGGTACAACTTTTAAGGTTCGTTCTTCTGGCAGTTTTGATGTTTGAAAAGGTATTTCCATTTCTAGTAGGATTTTTTGAAGTAGTCTGTAGTGGGTTGGTTCGCGAGTTTTCTCAATAATGGATCCATCGGAGGTAGTTTGCGCGAAGACAGTTTCCGGAGAGAGGTCAGAATTTTTAAAAACAGTTGGTGCAGCTCTGCGCCAATCAACGGAGTTTTTGATGAAAATCGGTGGTATGCTAATCTTGGCTTTCTTAAGTACAACAGAATTTGATTTGGTAGAGACTAGGCTTTCTTCAGTGTCTGACGAAGCATAGGAGTCGCCCTACAAGGATTCACCAGAGACGGATGATGAGGCTGGAGCATCACGTTGTCTAGTAGTGAACGGTACTGGAGCGGAGGTTACATTATTAGTCGTTACGGGAGGTGGTGAGTACGTTGTGTTTCGATCTTCTTTGACCGTGGACAAAGGTGGTTTTAGTAGAGGCAGAGGGGATTGATGACGGTTTTTCTTAGACACGATTTGTGGAGGAGTGGCTCCGCGTTTTTTACTACGGTTTCCCATGATCGGCGAGTTGTGGCTAGCCTACGCTACGGTGCGAGACCCGGCAGTGTCACCTACCGGTGACTGAGCCTCGTGGTCGTGGATGGGGGGTGTATAAGATTTTTGGCTACTTACTGGATAGGTGCGAGTTGATTCGTCAGGATAGTGAGACAGCGTGGAGAGCCGGAGTGAGGTTCGACTTGTGTAGCAGCAATGTTGAACTTATGATTGATGATGATGGAATTGTGATAAAATGATGATAGAATGATGAATGAATGAATTTTTTTTTTTTTGTCACTCTAACCAGTTGTAATGGTGTAGGCATACACGAAAACGGTCCTTTTCAGGACAACCAAACAACGAGTGCCAACATAGAGCAACACACAACACAATAGAAACACATAGAAAATGATGGTTTCTCTAGAAGTATATTTCACCAGAAAAGCCAAGGGAGAACCACATTGAGTTAAAAGCAATTGACAGGTCGAGGTGCGGTTCTTACTTGGTGAAACAACCACCCTCGACCAACCAGAGAAGACAACAGGCCAACGCCGGGTATATATACCGGTGCGTTTTACCAGATTCATCTTCGTTCATCTTCGTTCATCAAAGTGACGTTCAGCGTTGAACACGACATCTGCATCTGCCTGAATGAGCAACTCGTTCAGTCATCTTATTCATTAGTAAGTACCTTATTTTCTACTCTGAACCCCCCCCCCTCGACTACGAGGCAAGTGAACCCGTTGGTTCGCACCGTCGGGTCGCGTCTATGCATCGTGCACGACGGTTCCACCTCTAGTAATAATGACAAGGGTAAAGAAAAACGTTCCACGCCGTGGTTCCGAGTGTTCCGACCCAAATCTTCTTCCTCCTCAAAAGGTTACAATCAAAATACCAACTTCATCGGCTTCTTCACTTCAATCGTCAACCAAAAAACAAAAACAAAAATATATTGAATCTCTTTCTTCTGATTCCGAATCAATGTCGTCCATTTCAGAACTAACCTCAACTGACCAAATATCAGGTTACCTGATCTATACTCTCCCTCACTCTCTGTTGTTAAACCTTTACCAGGATCTCTGCCAACTAACATCCGTTCTTCTTCTCCGGGAAAATCAATCTCCAACCGCTCAACGCCTACTCCCACTCAAGACCTTCCACCTGTCGAACAAAAGATCAAACCTCCTCCACCACTAATCACTTCTACATCAGCATGGAGGAAAGCAGCGTCCAAACTTATGAAAGCAGTTCCTATTGACTCGATAACAGTCAAAGCTTTCCGGAATGACTCGGTCAAAATCCAATGCACTGACTCTGATATGTTCAGAATTGTCCAAAAATATTTCAAGAACACTGAAACTGAATTTTTCACGTTTCCAAGTCCCGAAGAAAAAACACTCAAAGTCGTAATCAGGGGCTTGCCTACTGATATCTCTGACATCGAACTCTCCGAAGAACTTGTATCCAAAGGATACGAAATCTCTGCAGTCCGCCAATTCGTTAAAGCTGGCAAAAAATTGCTCCTTCATATGGTCTCCTTACCAAACAACCCTGCCAGCAAGTCAATATTTAGGGAATCTTCATTCTTTTATATCTCGGTTAAGGTAGAAGCCTACAAAGCGACAAACCCAGCCCAGTGCTTTAATTGCCAACGTTTTGGTCATTCCAGCATCTACTGTGGGTTTACCCCAAGATGCGTGAAATGTGCTGGATCCCACCTGGCTAAAGACTGCCCCAAGACCCTAGAACAGACTCCCAAATGCATTAATTGTGAAGGCCCTCACACAGCCAACTACAAACAATGTCCAGAATTCTTAAAGACTAAAGCCGCTAAGCAAGCATCCCTACCCATGTTCAATCAACAACGCGTTCAAACAACTCTTTGTCAACCTCCAGCAACCATCACTCCTCCATCTAATGAAGATGCTATAATCCGCCCTCAGTCATACGCAACTGTAGTTGGCGCTAAGCCTTCAAAATTATCAAGCCAGCCCGTCAACCCAGAAGCCATCCAATTGCTCACCAATCTGCTGTCAGAGCTCACAGCCGGCTCCGCCAACATCAGAAACGTTCTCATCTCTACTCTAAATGCTCTTATCCCCCTTCTCCTATCTGACAATGTCTGACACCAGAATTTTGTTTTGGAACTGTCAAGGCGTTGCTCGGAAACGCCTTGAACTTCTCGACCTAGTCCAGAGGAAAAAGGTTGACATTATTCTTTTAAATGAAACTCACCTTGCTTCAAATAGCCAATTTAATCTCCCTAACTTCTTTTCTTACGCAACCAATAGACCACTAGTGAATGGCCACCCTCCAGCCGGAGGGACTGCTGTCCTAGTTAACAAGAAATTTATTCATCACAATATCAAAATCATCACAACATCCATCAACAATACGGCAATCGTTATCCAAATCAATGACGCGGAACTTACTCTTGTCTCGGCTTACAAAAGCCCAGGCACCCAACTTGTAACATCAGACTTGGACATCATTCTAGACTCAGGTCAAAACGTTATAATCGCAGGCGATCTTAATGCAAAACATCTAGCGTGGAACAGTAGGTCCACAAATACTGCAGGTAGAACATTATTTAATTATCTAGACTCGAGGCTAGACACAACTGTTACAGCTCCTACCTCTCCAACTCGTTATCCAACAAACCCAAATTACAATCCAGACGTTCTTGACATCGCCATAATAAAGGCAGGTAGTCTTAGCTATCATCTGGAGAACCTTCCAAATGAACTGTCATCTGACCATTCTCCTATTCTGCTAGACATCCATCATCGTTCTGCTCACATATCTCCGCCTAAACCTCGCTACATCACCGACTGGATTAAATACGAAATTGATATGCTCTCCAAGCCATTTTCTCTCCCTGAAATTCTCACAGAGGAACAGGTTGACTCAGCTATTCAGCATCTCTCCAATTTCATCTCCGACAACGTAAAAATCAACTCCACAATCCACAACCCATCTGACAGAAAAACTGACCTTCCACTATCGATCCAATTCCAAATAACCAAAAAACGCAGGCTAAGATCCATCTGGCAGAGGACCAGGAACCCGGACATAAAAACGCTACTTAACCGACAAAATAGTTTAGTCAGCGATCTCCTACAATCAAATCGCGATGAAGAGTGGTCCAATTTCCTGTCCTCAATCGATATTGGTCCCCAAGGGTGGTCCCGACTTTATAAGCTCAATAGACGACTTCTCAGGAAATCTCCATCTTCCCATCCACTTAAGGACGATCATGGTTTCCTCCACTATGATTCACTCGAAAAAGCCAACATCTTCGCTTCAAGCATGGAAAATCTATTTTCTTCTCTGGCTAGTACTTCGTGGGTAGACGAAATAGTACAAGACACCCTGGAACAGCACTTTAACTCGATATACGACAAAAACATCTTCTTTTCTCCAGGCGAAATCTGGAACAATCTTCGCAAACTCCCCAATAAAAGCGTCCCTGGGCCTGACCTTATATCTAATTGTGCTCTCAAACGTGGGGGGAAAAAACTTGCGATCTACTTGTGTAAAATATTCAACTCTTGCACTCGTCTTGAATATTTTCCCAACCAGTGGAAAATTGCTGATATAATTATGATTCCTAAGCCGAATAAAGACCCAAAAATCCCAACCAACTACAGACCTATATCTCTCCTGAACACGATGGGTAAACTATACGAGAAACTCTTACTCTCCAGACTTAAAAGTCACATATTGCCTCAAATCAGACCTGAACAATTTGGCTTTCGCCCCCAGGACAGCACTGAAATTCAACTAGTCAACTTCATAGACAACATAACAATTAATATGAGCAGAAAGTTAAAAACAGCAGTAACTCTCCTTGATATAGAAAAAGCATTTGATAAGATATGGCACGAGGGCCTTTTATTCAAACTCCTGGCTATGCAAGTACCTCAACAGCTGGTCTCCATCATTCAGTTATTTTTCAAAGAAAGGAAATTCTGCATAAAAATCGACGATACCAGATCTTCCCCTAAGACCATAAGAGCTGGAGTCCCTCAGGGGTCATGCCTCTCTCCGCACCTATTCTCCGTATACATCAACGATATGCCATTATCCTCCAAAGCCAAGATAGCCCTCTTCGCTGACGACACATTGTTTTACGCTGATAGCATATCCCAATCGTGTGCAATTAAAAACCTTCAGGCCCAGATTGAACTCTCGATCGAATGGTTCCATCAGTGGAAAATATCAATCAATCCACTCAAGATCTCGGCCATTATGTTCAGCAACAAGCAGACTCGAGCGGGAGATAGCGTAAAATTTGGCGACACTCCCATCAAATGGTCAAATAACATCAAGCACCTAGGGGTCACCATAGATAAAAAGCTATCTTTTAGCACTCACGTAAAAAACATGATCACCAAGGCTAAAGGAGCCAAACATTCCCTTTTTCCCCTTATTAATAAACGCAGTCCACTATCAACCATTTCAAAACTACATATATTCAAAACCTACATCAGACCTATCCTGACCTATGCGGGACCTGCATGGACGGCAAATATTTCCAATAGCAGCTGGGCAAAACTGGAGGCAGTTCAGTCTACTACCCTGCGTCAAATTACTGGACTGGACTGGTATGTCTCCAACGATACCATCAGAGCATCCTTAAAGACTCCATCACTAAAAGATCACTTATCAAAAAACAAAGTTTCACTTACTCAACGCATCAAAAACTCAAGCTTCAAGCACATCTCCGACATACTCTCCAAAAACTCACCCAAGGAGCACTTCATTAAAAAACCACTTTCTCAATAATAGCTAATCTTTAAGCCTAAACTCACCACTCTCAATTCAGTACTTCCACCTCTCTGTAAGAAGCAAAATGCTTGAAACAGAGTACTCTAACAAAGCAAAGCAAAACCAGATCGAACATCAAAACAAAACAAAACAAAACCCCTGCGGTCCATCCGCTGATTGGCCCAAATGGCCTTATGTATAGGGATGAAGAAAAGGTTGAATTATTTGCTGACACATACGAACACCAATTC